AAGTGTCCGCCCAATCGGGTCCGCCTTCACTACTGGCGCTCAAACACACAGCTCTTTGCTCTCCTGAATGTCATCATTAGTTTGTTAGAAGAGATTTCGCGAGTCGTGTGCTCTCTCTCTCTCTCTCCCTCTCTCTCTCTCTCTCTATACAAGTTTTCCACAGTATTTATAGCCTTAAAAAAGTTTTGTTGGCATTGCCTCGAAATACGAGTGTATTTTAATCTTTCATTTTTGTATTTAATTAAATGTTTAGAGAAATCGATTTATTATAATAACAACAAGTTTTATCAAAACTTTTGTTTCGTGTAAAAAGTGCTAAAAAAGTTTTTGCTTTTGCATAAAATGAGTCAAATTATTAGATGACTTAATTTAATAGTGAATGAATCAGTGGTCTATTGAAAGTGATAGTTAACGCCGACACCCTATGCTGTGATGATAATGCCGGCGATCTCTTCGGGACCAAACGGCGAGATGAAGCCGGACTGCAGTCACGCCATGAGTGCGACCAAAACGGAGTGCGCCGGCTGTGGCTCATTCATTCGCCGACACCCTATGCTGTGATGATAATGCCGGCGATCTCTTCGGGACCAAACGGCGAGATGAAGCCGGACTGCAGTCACGCCATGAGTGCGACCAAAACGGAGTGCGCCGGCTGTGGCTCATTCATAATGGACAGGTACTACCTGTCGGCGGTGGACAGGCAATGGCACGTCCAGTGTCTCAAGTGCTCGCAATGCAAGATCGCGTTGGACTCAGAGCTCACTTGCTTTTCACGTGACGGACACATCTATTGCAAGGAAGACTACTATAGGTAAGCGCCGGCAGCACTGCCCTCCACTCCCCGCTCCCCTCACTATATCTCTATGATTACTATTAATCGGGTTCTCAGGAAAAGCAGAGATTTCTTAATTCGTAACTCATTTGCATACAAAGCAAACAATTCATGTCATTCTGAGTGAGAGATAAATGTTTTTCTTTTTCTTTCCTCATATTATATCTGATGTATTGATAAAAATCCTCCAAAAGATTGCGTTTGATTTGATTTTGTAATTTTGCAAATATTTAAATAATAAAATAAAACTTTTTTCAGCGCTAATACACAGACAATCAGATTAGAGGTATTGTAGAGAACTGAGAAAAAATTGTCACAAAACTAGTGAACAAATTAATGTTAAAAACAGAAAAAACTACAGTTTTGTCGTTTGACTGACACATAGAGTCACGCTCTTACCTGTGTCATACATACCTGTGCCCAACATTTTCTGTTAATACCTAAAACCTAGTAGTATTAGGAAATATTTGTCGTCTTATCTATTGCAAGGAAGACTACTATAGGTAAGCGCCGGCAGCACTGCCCTCCACTCCCCGCTCCCCTCACTATATCTCTATGATTACTATTAATCGGGTTCTCAGGAAAAGCAGAGATTTCTTAATTCATAACTCATTTGCATACAAAGCAAACAATTCATGTCATTCTGAGTGAGAGATAAATATTTGTCTTTTTCTTTCCTCATATGATTTCATGATATCTGATGTATTGATAAAAATCCTCCAAAAGATTGCGTTTGATTTGATTTTGTAATTTTGCAAATATTTAAATAATAAAATAAAACTTTTTCAGCGCTAATACACAGACAATCAGATTAGAGGTATTGTAGAGAACTGAGAAAAAATGGTCACAAAACTAGTGAACAAATTAACGTTAAAAACAGAAAAAAAAACTACAGTTTTGTCGTTTGACTGACACATAGAGTCACGCTCTTACCTGTGTCATACATACCTGTGCCCAACATTTTCTGTTAATACCTAAAACCTAGTAGTATTAGGAAATATTTGTCGTCTGAAAACTAATTTTTTATTTGAAAAATTTGCTTTTCTTGCTGTTTGTCATAACTTTTGACTCATTTTCTCTCCAATGAATTGGAGATTAGTTTACAATTCAATTCAATTGATTCTGTCATCGCATTAGAAAAATTGTAATCCTCTGTCGACTTGAAAAATGAGATAATATTAAGTTTGTCAATGAAATTAACAAAAAAGTTCTCTCTCTCTCTCTCTCTCTCCCTCTCTCTCTCTCTCTCTCTCTCTCTCGCTTTATAAATCAAAACTGTTTCTCATTTAATTTGTCGTCGAAGTCGTTATATTTATTTCAGTGAATATAATGTAATAATATTTTGGCAAATAATACTTTAGCATAGCCCTGGGCGAAATTAGGGATTTCGTATAGTAATACCGTAACTGTTAAAGTATAAAAGGGGTTTTACCTGAGATTATGACTGAAATTATTAAATATAAATGTCCACTAAAGTAGAAAATATATACTTTTTAAGATAACTATTAGTTTTGTTGGTTTTTGCAAACTACAGTTTAACATGTGAAATGCACAATTACTGTATAATCTCATTACAGTATTGGAAATCTGTGAATAATTAATACGAAAACAAACAAAATCAATAAAAAGGCCCGTAATTTAAACGTCATAAACAAATAATTATTTAAAACATAAAAACTTTATTATTATTTTTGTTTTGTTTGATGATTGGGGTCAGACTTCTACGGAAGATAGCTATCATTATTTGAGTATTAAATACTGATAAATACAGATATCACTAAACTTATCATTATATTCTGATTACATATTATTCTGTATTATATTATATGTGTTTTGTGTTAGAAATACAGTGTATAACAAAAATACAACAAAAAATGTTATCCATATTTTCGACAGATATGTACAGTAGAAAAACTTTTGTCATTCATTCAAAATCTGATATTAATTTTTGTTTTAGTTTTTGTTTTGAAATAAAACTTATATTTTGTTCATTTTCTTTCGACTTACTATCGATACAACTAATCAAACGAATAAAATTTATTTTTCGTTACAAATCTTTGACAAAAATCTATTAAAAATATTATTTTATTTAAAATTTTTATTCTTATTCCGTGTTTAATATTAATATAAGTTTTTTTCGGTACAAAAATTTTTAATCTCATTTAGGATTGAATTTTGCTGCGAAAAACCTCTTATTTATAAGTTTTAATATATAGTTTACGACCTTTAGATTAAGAGACTCTAAGATATGTTATTGAGAATTATTGATTCAATTAGTTTTTAGTCAATCTGCAAATCAGTTAATTACTAGAAATCGATTAATTCAATAATTTTTTGTCAAACATTTGAATTAATTTTGTTTTATTTGGGTTTTCTACCGATACATACAAATTGTGTTTACATTGAGAGAGAGAGAGAGAGAGAAACAAATATTATGTGTTGAGTACAAGAATTTTTCACATACTGTTTAAAAAGGCCATTGAATTACATAAGTATTACAGACAACAAAAATATATGAAATACGAGAGCAAAGAATGCTTTTGAAAATGTTTTCCTGAGTTTTCACTCAAAAGAAAGTATCAAATCAAACGTATTATGAAAGGCAACGACTAAATATTTAGCAATTTTGAAACATATCGCACACAATACCACAATCTCTCTCTCTCTCTCTCTCCCTCCCTTCCTCTCATTCTCTCTCATTCTCTCTCATTCTCTCCTGAGACCTCTTAAAATGTATGCAATCTGAGTGCCCCCTAACTCCGACTCAGACTAACTGTCTCTCTCTAACCGTCCAATACATAGGATCTTTGCAATGAAGCGGTGCAGTCGTTGCGGACAAGGGATATATGCGTCCGAACTAGTCATGAGAGTTCGCGACAACATATACCACATGCAGTGTTTCACATGTGCCTGGTGCAACACGACGCTAGCACAGGGCGATTACTTCGGCTTAAAGGATAATCTAGTCTATTGTCGCACTCACTACGAAATGCTCACTTGCGGTCACTTTCTGCTGACGTCGGAGAACGCCATTCACCCGTCGGCTCACGACAGGAACGGCTCGTCGCAGCCAATTATGCCGGCCTACGGATCCATATACTCCGGCGCACCGACCACTGCGGGCGGCGGCGCTGTGACCGCCGTCACCGGTGTCCGCAAAGGCAGGCCTCGCAAGCGAAAGGCCACGGATGGCACCCCTATTCACGACACACACTCGCCCGGAGTGGCCACGACTCCCAGCGCACAAAGTCCTACATTAGGTATGCCTTTCACCTGAAACACACACATATGCCTCGAGTATTAACTTTTTCAATGTCTATCGCCTCAACCCAACAGCCAATTCAATAGACAGTAACGTCGTGTCAAACCTGAGCTCAAGCCTCGACACGGGCTGTATGAGCGATGGACAGTCATCAATGAACGGGTCGTCTCTGGTGCTGTCGGGTCACGCCTCGGGCCAGAGGACCAAACGTATGCGCACGTCATTCAAGCACCACCAGCTCAGGACAATGAAGTCCTACTTCTCCATCAATCAAAACCCTGACGCCAAAGATCTTAAACAACTGTCGCAGAAGACCGGCCTCTCCAAGAGGGTCCTACAGGTCAGCACTACTACTACCCATAGCCTGAGTCCACTTCTCATACAAAAACCTATTATACATAACACTTGACTTATAGTCACTCTGTTTGAGCCCTCAATTGACTCGACAATAACCACTCTATTGAACAATATTGAGCCTCAAATGTAACTGTTTTCATGTTTCGTGTGTTTAAGATATTCACGTAAAATATATTCACAAAAAAAGAAAATCAAATGATAAACAATGCATAAATTATTTGGAGATTTATCAGTATAAACTCATTTTAATTTGTAAATAGTGTTTAGAAATTTAATAAGTATTTGAGCGAAAAATATATAAATACTAAAGCCTTCGATACCTATCAGCGCTATTAGTTTCGGTAGTTTTGCAAGTTTTTTGCACAGAAAATAATTTATTGTTTTTGTTTGATTAGACATTAATCTCTGAGACGTCTTCTCTCTTTTTAGTATACATTTTATCGTAATATAAGAAATATATATATTATTTAAGAGCTTTTGGTTCCGATTAAATGCAATAAAATGCTAAACAGATAGTAATATCGGTCCCAAAAGGAAAAGTCATTTATAAATGAGACAACATTTCTGTGTTAAGACTGATTGTGAGAAACATATCATCAGATTCTCGATGAATGCAATGAAACGCGAAGAGAAATATAAGTTACGTTCAGATGTTTACACTTAATATAATTATTCACTTTGTGTTTAGATTTTTAAATTTACTTTTTTCTCTTCATCACAAACTTCGGCACAAAAAAATGTAATCTAAAAACAAATATTTTCCATATCGTTATCATTTGAATTGATTTCCTAATCTATAAAGAGAGACACAAATTCTTTTGAAAGAAAATTCTTCTAAAAATAATTTACTGATTATTATATAATATATCGCTTTTGAAAGATATGTTCAGATTCTTGTGTTAGATATGATATAATCGCGAGATTAAAGCGATTTATAATTGAATTGAATTAATAACTCATAAATACATGCAAAATATACCCAAAGGTTTGGTTTCAAAACGCGAGGGCGAAATGGAGGCGAAATAATCTGAAACTCCCCGACGGACAGGACATCAGTCTTGGCGGCAGTCAATCATTATTAGCGCATCCGTCGACACCATCGACAGGCATCGACAGTCCTAACGGTTCCACTCGTCCCTTCTCATCGCCATCACCGACACTATCCGTGAATGACAACCACAGCCACACCGGCAGTAGTATAGAGTTTAATCAATCATCACATCCAGAATCGATCATTCCTTTGGCCACTTTCCAGGAGTTATTTTGAACGCTATATAAAAGTAAATTATATATAAATATCATAAAAACATTATATAAATGACAAGAGAGTCGCAGACAAACGCAAGATTGAAATGCTAATAAATCTCATATCAAATACAAATCGTTAAAACCAAAAGACTTTTACAAATAATTTATTAGTTTTTTCAGCAAATAATAAGAAAATCGCTGAAAGTTTTGCAGAAATACATAAAATAGCAAAAAACATACAATTCTATTAAATATTCAATAAATTAGAAATTAATTTTTATATCATATCCTTTTTGCGGTGTTATAACTTTCCAAATAAAAATATGATATTAAGGCAAAAATGTTAGTGGATAAATTGACAAAATATTCCCTGGATAAAATATGTTTTATTCCTAATGTCAAAGAAATTCTCAGATTCTTCTGTATTTGTATTATTATTGTTAAACAAAAAACACACAACAAATAAACTAATGTAAAGAATGAGAAACTTTTATTGATATAAAAAACAACAACAAAAACCAAATGATGAACAAAATTTTTCTATCCATTCATACCATAGTATTTGAAAAATTCAATTCTCACGTCAATTCTCTTGTATTTGTCTATTGATTGTAATCATTATTATATATAAAATACAGTATATTTGTGAATAAAAACACATCAAACGTAAGACAAAAAAGTATTTTCTTATGTGTTATGAAATGTTGAGAAAATTAAACATTGAATTCAGACAATTGGAGGGAAACGAGTGACGTTTGGATCTCAAGATAGAAAGGAGTAATAAATTGATAAAAATTAATCTTTTTTGCCTCTTTTGTTACAACGAGTCAAAGCGATTGTTTCCCAAAAGCAACAAAAACTTTATATAATTTTCTATAAAGTCCTCCAAATTCTGTCACATCAAAGGGTAGCGCCGATTGTTTTTTATCAAATTCAATCCAATTATGGAAATTGTAATCTTTTCTTACACTAAATACACGGTGAGTATTATGAATACAATTTTTCTTTTGGATACATATATGAGAGAATTATATTTTTCAATACATATAGTATATCAACTCAAATGTAATTTTTTATTTTGCCAAAATTTCAGGTATGAATTATGGGAATAAAATTTATTTGTAAATCAAATCAATATTTAGTTTATTATGATTTAAACGTATTTATAGCAACAGTGAATTGATTTGCAAAATAACTTTTCCGTAATTCTCAAGAAAATAAAACTAAAAGTTTATTGAACACAAATCTACTTTAATTTTAAAGCAAAATGCATTTTTTCCGTAAATGATTTATGGTTTGTATTTCACTTGCATTTCATTGAAAAAAATATTTCGGGTTTTCTCTTTAAAAAACTTTTAAATTTTTCTTAAAGGGAGAGAAAACTCCGTATATTTTGACTGTAATTCAATAAAAACAAAGTTTAAATATATTTGAGACATGATTTTTCAAATCGCGAGGTATTTACGCATTTTAAGGCAATTATTTTGCTAAAGTGAACTAAAACTTTTGATAATCCAACTTTTTCATAATCATAAAATACTGCTTAAAACTCTTGAATTTAAAGTTTTATGTGAAATCATTAACTAGAAAACTAGTTGAATGTAAAAGTATTACAAACTTTTAATCCGCAAAATATAGTGACTAAAAAGCATAAGTTATAATTAAATAAAACAAATGTTAGAAATCGAGTATATATTTAAGCAAATATTCTGCGTTTCTCTCTCTCTCTCTCTCTCTCTCTCTCTCTCTCTCTCGTCGTGTAAAGCATTCAAATGCATAACAAAACATAAACATTAATCTCAACCAAAGTTTATGTTTGTTTTATTATTTTATTCACAATCTATTTCTGTATTCACAGAGAAAAATAACTTTTTTAGATTGATTTTCGATGAGATGTGAATCTCAAACTCGGAGAGAGAGAGAGAGAGAGAGGGAGGGAGGGAGAGAGAGAGAGAGGGAGG